ATGTAAGAGAAGACGTTGCTCAAATATTATACAGAGATAAAACAAGCCTTTGAAGAAAAAAGGGTTATGTTTCCTATCCCTACTGATATGAAAATGATGCATGCACAAGAAGAACAAGTGATAGTGCAATGTTTTCTGGCTAGGTTGAGACCGAAATATGAGATAACTCGTACACAACTTCGTACCGATGAGACACTTCCCTCTCTTACGGATGTATTTGCTCGACTTCTCAGAGTTGGTAAGGGGGAAGATCGAGGAGTGTCTAAGGACAAAGAAACCTTTAAGGATCCTAATGTTGATCATGTGGCCCTAGCTAGCATAAGTCTAGTGATGGCAAAGGTAACAAAGGGACAAGTCGTGATACCAAGAACAATCGTGGTAATGGCCCTTGTATTTGCTTTCATTGTGGTGCAGAGGGTCACGTAAAAAAAAAATTGTTGGAAGCTCCATGGCAAGCTCCTGAATATGCAAGGCACTCAGAAATTTGCTCATGTTGTAACTCAAGATGGTCTCTTACCCACCCCATCACAGGTTACTATCTCTGCAACAAAATATGCTCGTCTCACTAAGAATTCTTGCTCCCAGTCATCCATCCCATCGACTACCACTACATTAACCCAGTTAGGTAATCTTACAGCCTGTTTGTCCACTTCTAATAGTACCTGGGTCATTGATTCTGGTGCTACCCACCATATGACAAGTGATACAGGTATTCTCTCCTCATTTACACCTTCACCCAATTTGTCTTCGGTTACCTTAGCTAACGGGTCTACTACCTATTATTGGATGCGGTACTACCCATCTCAATAAATCTATGTCTTTTTCCTTTGTCTTGTGCCTTCCTCATTTTCTCTTTAATCTTTTATCAGTTAGTCAAATTACTAATGTATTCAATTGTGGTGTTTTCTTTTTTCCTACTCATTGTATATTTCAGGATCTTGGGACAAGACGGATTATTGGTAGGGGTCGTGTATTAGGTGGCCTGTATATGCTCGATGATGTCTCCACTCCTGTCTCTCAACCTGTTGCGTGTACCAGTGATTCATCTCTACCCATATTACATGGTCACCTTGGTCATCCTCCCCTTCCCATTTTGAAAAGGATGTGTCCTAGTGTAGGGTCAATGTCACACCTTGAGTGTGAGGCGTGTCAGTTTAGAAAACACCATAGAGTGTCTTATAGCCCTAGGCTAAACAAAAGAGCCACAACCCCTTTTGATGCTATACACTCTGATGTTTGGGATCCTTGCCTTGTGTTGTTTAAGTCTAGATATCGATACTTTGTTATTTTTGTGGATGATTTTTCATGTGTAACTTGGTTGTACTTTATGAAAAATCGTTCTGAATTATTCTCCATATTTTGTGCCTTTTATGCTGAAATACAAAATCAATTTACTTCATCTATTAAAATTCTCAAAAGTGATAATGCCAAAGAATACTTTTTTGCCATTTCTCCTCTTTTCTGTCTACTAAAGGTATTATTCATCAGTCATCATGTGTTTATACACCTCAGCAAAATGGAGTTGCTGAACGCAAGAATCATCATTTATTATAAGTCGCTTGTACTCTCCTTTTTCACATGAAAGTCTCTAAAGAATTTTGGGCAGATGTTATCTCTACAGCATGTCACTTGATCAACGCATGCCTTCTTCTGTTTTGGGTGGTCAAATCCCGTTCTCCATCCTTTTTCCATCACGACCTTTATTCTCTCTTCCTCTTAAAGTGTTTGGGTGCACGTGCTTTGTTCAAGATGTTAGACCTCATGTATCCAAATTTGAACCTAGGTCCCTCAAGTATATATTCTTGGGTTATTCCCGATATCAAAAGGGTTATCGTTGTTTTTTTCCTGTCCTATGTAAGTACCTTATCTCAGCTGATGTTTCCTTTTTTGAAACCACACCATATGTTGAGTCCTCCGCTTCATCTACTTCTCTTAAAGCACCCCTTGGTGATCTTCTTATTTACAACATTACCCATCATAGTCCTCTACCATCTCGTCCTCCTATCACCCAGGTATACTCTCACAGGGTTCACCAGCACCATGAGACACTTGCAGCAACATTTGATCCACTACCTCTATCGACTGCCTCACCCTCGGATCTGGTTCCTCCTTCCTCTGACCATGATCATGATCTTCCCATTGCTCTTCGTAAAGGTAAACGCTCTTGTACCTATCATATCTCTTCATTTGTTTCCTATCACTCGTTGTCTTCATCTTCCAAGTCTTTTATTACCTTTTTAAACTCCTTATCTGTTCCCAACTCCATGTCTAAAGAAATTGCTCATGATGGGTAGCGAAAGGCTATGGAAGAAGAGATGTTGGCTCTAGCACATAATGATACATGTGTTCTAATGGAGTTGCCTGAAAATAAAAAGGCTATTGGGTGCAAATGGATTTTCACAGTGAAGGCTAATCCCGATGGGACTGTGGTTCAGTTGAAAGCTCGGTTGGTTGCTAAGGGTTATGCCCATACGTATGGTATTGATTATTCTGAGACATTCTCCCCAGTGGCTCAAATGACCTCTGTCCGACCATTCATCTCTCTTGCAGCTTCATATTGTTGGCCTCTTCACCAACTTGATGTAAAAAATGCCTTTTTACATGGTGATCTTCTTGAAGAGGTTTACATGGAGCAACGTCCAGGGTTTGTTGCTCATGAGGAGTCAGGAAAGGTATGCAAACTGAGGAAATCTTTATATGGCTTAAAGCAATCTCCACGGGCGTGGTTTGGGAGGTTTATCGAAGTGGTGACTTAGTTTGGTTTACATAAAGAGTGTTTATGATCATTCTGTCTTTTATAAGCAATCTAGTTCTGGCATCATTCTTTTGGTTGTTTATGTTGATGACATTGTAATCACTGGCAGTGATGATGTTGGCATTCAGAGTTTGAAAAACTTTTTGGCTTCCAAATTTCACACAAAAGACTTGGGCACTTTAAGGTATTTTCTGGGAGTCGAGGTTTCTCAGAGTAAGAAAGGGATTTTTCTCTCTGAACGCAAGTATGTGTTAGATGTGTTGATCGAAATGGGTCTAAGTGAGGCTAAACCTTGTGACACTCCTATGGTTCCTAATGTGAGATTGAATGCTGAGGATGGAGAGATGTTTGGTGATCCAGAGAGGTACAAACGGATAGTTGGAAAGTTAAACTACCTTATAGTAACCCGTCCAGATATTGCTTTTTCAGTGAGTGTGGTGAGTCAATTTATGTCATCTCCTAGGACATCTCATTAGGATGCGGTCCTCCATATTTTGAAGTATCTAAAAGGAGCCCCTAGACATGGGATTCTTTATAGTGATCATGGTCATAATAAAGTAGAAGGTTTTTCAGATATAGATTGGGCAGGATCCTCTGTGGATAGACGGTCTGTGACTAGCTTTTGTGTTTTTGTTGGAGGAAATCTTATTTCTTGGGAAAGTAAGAAGCAACCGGTTGTAGCTAGGTCAAGCGTAGAGTCTGAGTATCGGGCTATGACACAAGTTACGTGTGAGCTTATATGGACAAGACATCTTCTTAAAGAAATTGGGTTTGGTGACCCAAGGACTATGGACTTGTAGTGTGACAACCAAGCAGCCATACATATAGCAAACAATCCAGTCTTTCACGAGAGGACTAAGCATATAAAAGTGGATTGTCACTTTGTACGAGAGAAACTTGAACAAAAGTTAATTCCTACTAATCATGTTAGAACAGGGGAACAACTAGCTGACATCTTCACGAAGTCTCTAGTTGGTAAAAAGGTAACCTATAATTATAACAAGCTGGGTATGATAGATATATATGCTCCAGCTTGAGGGGGAGTGTTGGAAACTATGTATATATATAGTGTAAAGGGCATATTTGTAATTGCAAAGTGTGTATATATTTGAGTTAGGTTGTACTGTTGAGATACAAGAAATATAGAAAGTGAACAATGGGGACTACAATCAAGGTCCAGAGAGTGGATGACCTGGATGATTTGAAGATCCCAGCTCTGAAGCAGCCGAACACAACCCTTGTAATGGCAAGGAAAGGGGTTTCTATACCATATGACAGCAACGAGGAGATCAGTTGGTACAGGTGCAAATTGATATCCCAGAAAGATTGAGCAGTGAAGAGATGAAGCATATTGAGAAGCTTGATAAGCTAAGGAAGGGAAAGAGGAGCAGGAGATAGTTGGGATAAGCTTTTTCGGATTATATTACTCTTCCTCTCTGCACTGATATTTTGTTTCACCAATTGTTTATGCTTGGTGTAAGAATCGTATCTATCTGTTAACGGAAACTTGTGTTCAATTTGAGTTTTTTCTTGCATTATTATTTACGGGTTATTCTTCTCGGTTTTCTGTCAATCCCAGGCCGGGAATACTAATTAAAAAGTTGAATCAATATTAGGTTGAATGTAATCTTAAATCGATAACTGAGAAGCCGTGTTCTAAGTGTAAAAGTCTAAAACGGGGGAGGAATTGAAACAAGATAATAAAATAATAAATAGAAAAGAAATAAGGATTTGCACCTAACAGCTGACCCGATACTTTTATATACAAAGAAATCTGGTGATGCACCTAACAGTTGACCCAATCCTATTTATCTTTATATTTAACACATAAGCATCAGAGAACCAGCCAAAATACCAGTCTATATTTGTTATGATAATAATACATCAGAAACATACTAGTAGGGCCCTGGAATAAGCAGAAGATGATTTATATAGCTATCTCACATTACTTGAAAATTGAAATCGACCTGTTTATCGATATACAAATTAATAAGTCAATGATCACAGTTCTTGCATTTTTCAGCTTTAATTATGAGATTTCTAAAGATGATGCTAATTGCACTGCCATTCAACGTTTTTAAGTTGGAAACTAAAAAAGCAATAAGAATGTGTAAAATGCAATGATATATTTTCACAAATAGGATATCACCCTGTTACTGCATATATATATATATATATGGAATCATTTGAACCAGGAAAAAAGAAAAAACAATCAAGTAAATTGTTGTATAATATTTAATACCCCTATTTGAATGGAAAATAAAATTTAAAAAAAAAAAAAAAAAAATTCCCTCCTGAAACACCATGTTTACAGTTACTCTTCTACCTCATGAATTTTCAACTAGATGTTAAACGTCAGCACACCTCATTGGTGCATATCCCAGCCTAGATTTCTTTGTATCATACAAGATATGGAAATTCTGCTGCTGATAGTTCCCTATTATTGAAAGAGCTGATTGAGGAGTCCCCAAAATTGCTAAGCAAACAACATCCTCCGGGTCAAGCCTGATGAAGTAATTATCAACTGGGAAGTTCCACACGCCACCATCTGCAAACAGAATCCCGAATTCCGGAAGTTCGTTCTTCTCAACTCCAGTCACATTATAACAAGGCTCTAAAACTGGAAAATCCTTCACTAGAGGATACCCTTTCACCTTCTTCATAAATGCATCCTTAATTATATCATAAGCTGGTTGTGCAAAATAACTAAGTGTAGTACCTGAATCAATGATTGTACCTCCAGCACCATCCGATGACAAATGCCATGTCTCTTCTGGTATATTTAACACCTCCCCTCCAACGATGATTGATTTAATTTGAACATAATAAAATGTATCAACTGGATTTTCTTTTCCAGACACCAATGTGGTAAAATTCAAATTGGGGTGACTCAAGAGGTCTGAATCCTCACCTAATATCAACTTGCTGCTAACATTGGTGTCACTATTTCTATCCACAAGACAGTATGAAAAGGAGTGACCATAAAGAGATTGAAGCTGAGAGGAAAAGGAGAGAGGACCTCTCCCGAGACCTAACAGCCCTGCAGCCCCATGAAATAGGCCTCTATTCCAATGACCACAGCCAAACATCACATTCTCCGCCTGCCTAAATTCTGACTTCCCCGTTGGCGTTGTGAGATTAACCGTAAATGTTTCCAATGCAAAATCACCAGTAGTATTAGATTTATCTCCATACCAATAATAATAAGGACATGTTTGATTCTCAGCTTGACAAGGCTGAGGAGGATCAGGGGATGAAACCAAATGACACCTAGGATCATGGCAACTTATATTCCTAAAAGAAGTTGAATCTTTAGGATCATAATAAGGCCCATTTTGCTCAAAACAATCATAACAAGGCACACATTGAATCCAATTAAGGTCACTACCAGTATCAAGAATCAAAGAAAAGTGTTTTGGAGGTGTACCAATAAACACATCCATAAAGTACTCTCCCGAACCAAGACTCACCCCAGACTCCAAAGTTGCCACAAGCTGCCCAGAGACCCCACTTGCATAAGATTCTGGTGAAGCTGCTGATCCAACCACCGGCTTTATTTTCTTCTTCGACTTTTCACTATCTTTCTTTAGCCGTGAAATGGTGTTTTGGTTCTTCTTCTCAATGATCCTCGTATGAAGTGTCTGAATTCTTGTCACGTCCCTCGTTGTGGACTCAAACATAGATTGTTTTGGCGCGGATTCCGGATTCGTTGACCGGCGCTTTAGGTGAAGCTTCACCTTTTGTTTACTCGGTTTCATTGATAAGAAACCATCTCCATCATCTTCTTCGAGAATATCACCTTCTTTGTCTTGTTTCGGATTATCTAACTTTGTGAAGCTACAACCAGAATCTGCTGAAGAAGAAACAGCATTGAAGCTCATGTGTTCGGGCAATTTGATGCCGGCGATAGAGGAGATATTGGAATTCACATTCTTGTCATGGTCATGGGCTCTAGCGATAGCATCGAATGCTTCGCAAAAGATTGAGAGAAGAAACAGAACTAAAATAACCTTGAACAACATAGCAAAAAATTCTCCTTGTTTGGTTTCTGTGAAAATCCTACATGAAAGAAAGGCAAAGGCACCCAGAAACAGAACAATAAATAAAAAGTTTTTCTCAAAGAAACCGACGGGAAAACAAATGAAAAGAAAACTGGTTTTGCTTTTTCAAGCGAAGAAAATAAAAATAAACCCAGAGACAAAAGTTTCGAAAAAAAAAAAAAGCTTGTAGCTATGTGAGTTGAGAGATATGAAAGTATTTATGGGAAAATGCTATAAACAGGTAATGAAGAAATAAAAGTCTGGGTTCTGACTCGTGTATCTTCCACTCTGCTTGTTAAAATGGATATTAAAGACTTTGAATAAAGAAAACGCGTTTTCATACGAGAAGAAAGAAAGATAGTAGAGAGATAAAGTAAAGTAGTATTAAATATGAAGGTTCAAAGGGAGGAAAAGTTGACTTGTTATGAGACGTTAGTAATCAGATTTTTACCTAGTCTCACCGCTGGTGCTGGGTTTCTTCCTCTCTGTTTCCTGTTTCATTTGATTTGCCCTTCATTAAACGGTATTATACTTCAGGAGCTCACCATTTTTCAATTCTCCGCTTTGCTTTCACGAGCCTCCGACGACAACAAGTCACTCACTCTCTCTCTCTCTCTCTCTCTCTCTTGCCTTTTACTTGGTAAACCTGTCTCTTTACTTTGGTCTTGACGTTATTTTTACCCGTTGGATTTTTTAAAAGCAAATCTTTTATTATCTTAGACTAACCAATAGAAACTTGTTGAAATGAAGACACCCCCTTTTACAAGGTACAAGAAGACAAATCCCAAACCCCTACTGTAATTTGGTATGAAACAACATTACATGAAAAAATTCAGAAAATATTTTTTCAAAAAATTAATTTTTAAAATTTGTTTTTTTTTTTTATCATTTGAATTTAATTCTCATATTTTAAAATTTTTCTACCTTATTATTTAAATATATTTCTCAAAGACGAATTCCTGTCTTATTGGTTAAAAAAATTTGACGACCATTTTTACATTTTTTGTTATAAAAAATAAACCCTTTTGACCACTGATTGATGTCATGATATTAGGTTTGGTTTTTAATTATTTAACGAAATGCTGACAAGGATAGAGAAGCTGCCAAATCTCTTGTATTATTTTCAACTTTACACGTGGCTTACTTAATTTGGATCGATCACACGTCCAACACACTATTATGGAAACTTTAATATTTGTTATGTAAAGGTAAATTTTAATGAATTTTTTTTTAATTTATTTTATTTTTCATATATTTTAACCAGCAAAATAATCAAGATGTCATAAATAGATGATTAATTTTTGTGTTGGATCAAAGGAATTAAAATTCCTAAATAAAGGTAGGTGGTATTGGTTTGTCAAAATCAATATGCATTTGTTCCAATATAATTTACATTTAATAGAGAGGTGCGTGTATGAATCCATTGCGTTACACATTTAATTTATGGTGATGAATTGGCTATGAGTCTCATCAACTGACTTTGTCATATTTACTTTTAGATACTGATTTCAAGGCCATTTAGTTGTTAATCTCATGTCTTAGTCTTGATTAACTTAAAAAGAGGATTTGAATTGACTAGGATAACAAATATATTTATTATATTATATTATATGTTTAATTGTTAATTACGTTATCAGACTTGGTTACTAACTCCGAGACAGCCTTGCATCATCCTGGCTAAAAAGTTCAACACTTTGATTTTTGACGAAAATAGGAAAATGATATATCACTCTTTTTCTCAATTCAATTATTCTTTCTTTCAATCCTATATTTTCCAGTCATAATACGAGAATACTGGTTATACTGTATGCCGTCCAAATAATTACTTGTCATTAAGTTGATCAAAGTGTAATTAGGTTAATTAATTATTCATTAATTTGTAGAAGAGGTTGAGATTTGGGCGGTGCAATTTTTATATTTAAAGTAAGGTAATGGGTTTAGGTAAAGCTGGTCCACTTAAATTCACAATTTACATTCAATAAATGGACTATGAAACACCACGTCCACGGTCCATCTAGAACTAGAATGACGTGTGGTGCCGATTTTACCTAGCAATCAAAGTATGAAACATGAGTCCCTCGCGTAGCTTTAAACCATTCAATTCAAAGCTCAAACATCTAATAGTAGTAACAATTTTTCTTTACCCAATTAATTTATTATTTTTATTCAGGTTTTATAGGAAACGTCTGCCACTAAATGCTCTCTCGATTCCTCGAATACACTAAAGCTCAAAGCCCCAGACTTAGGGAAATATATGAACACATAAATTAAAAATTATAGAAAAAATCGAAAACGTGGAGACAGAGTAGGAGTGATTTGGGGGGCAGACCGCAGACATACATGCCGTTGCCGCCTTGAACGACCTTTAATAAACTCATATTTTGTTATGTTAATTGTAAATAAATTCAAAATCACTTGAGCACTGGTGACTTCCAAGAAATGTACTACCATTTGAATATGAATTAAAAGGAGCTTTGAAAGTTGAAATTCTTGCATTTTTATTCGCACTTTTGAATGTTTTTTGTGTTCTCCACGTAAAGCTTCAATGTGACTTTGAATTTTATTCAAGACTTGGGAGTACTTGTAATTGTTTGAGTTTGAAGCAAAACAAAGACTAAACGCCCCCTTTTTAACATTATTTTAAGAGTAAACGACATATTCCCACCCAAGGTTTGATAAAATCTTAAGTTGATATCTCTGGTTATATTTATTGCAGATTCTCACCTTTAAAGTGATGGAAAAATGTTTGATGTAACGGTAAAGGGGTAAATTAGTCATTTTGCATGGACGACGCACGTTAACATATTGTTGCCTCTAACAGTCCTCCAACACACGTTAGCAGACGGCGTCTCTGACATTTTTCGCCTTTTTTCTGTCGATTCTTCCACCTAAAATCACCCTTGTCACCACTATTTGAACCCCCATCCTCCCCTCTACGAAACCTTACCCTTCACAACCCCTCATCACTCGCCGATTGCCGGCCACAACAGCCATGACATGCGACTGGTTTTTGCCAGTTTTTGACCATTTTGAACGGCGACAACCCCAACCACCACCACCATTTGACTCTTCACATCCTCCTCTACAGAACCCTTAACCTTCCCAACCACGATAGCTCACCATTTGCTGTCCACCACTTCACCAAAAAACAACCGATGAACATGAACTCTTAGCTCGCAAACGACGACTAAACGGTTGTTGGGAACATAGGGGTTTTATAGAGTTGGAGACGCTGGTTGCAGTGGTGGTGTCCAATTGGATTTTCGTCAATGAAATCAACCAGAATCCAGCGAAGAACAGATAAACCCTAAGCCTAATGGCACTGGTGATTGGAGGGGTCAATGAGTTGGGAACCAAAGGGGTTTTGGACGAAAAACTGCGGGGAAGGTGATGGAGGTGACTAAGAGGTTCGACGTCATCGGAATAGCCCATATCGGGCAAAAATCGAGAGGGTGTGCAGTGACCGAGGATGTTATTGATATAATTTGAAAATAAAATGGTAAGTTTTATAATTCTACTAATTTAGGGGTTAAAACATAAATTTATTAATTTAGGGTTAAAGGCATTATAGTAATTGCACCCTCTATACCCTAAAAATTGCTAATAGTATTATTTTAACTTTTAAGGGTGAGAATCTAGAATAAATGTAACTTGGAGTACCAACTTAGGATTTCATCAATTATTGGGTGGGAATATGCCGTTTACTCTTATTTTAACTATTGATACATAGTTATTAGAAAGTGTTATAAACGGATCAGATTCGGAGATTGAATTATATTTAATTGGATTTTGTTAAATTAATAATTAATTAGGTTATGTGTAGTAAATAAATATAAATTTTATAACCAAATTGATAAAATATTAATTTTAGTATCAAATGTCATAATATAAAAAGCATTGAATTATTAAACCGTCTGACTTTTGCAAAACTTTAATTTTAGATTTGTAGTAAAAAGCGAAGATCGAATTCCAATCAGGAATTCAGGTCACAAATGGATGAGGATAATGATTCACATCGGCCTAAAACCTTTTGGTACAAAATTTGTTAATTATTATTATCATCACATATTAATATTATATTGAAAGGAACTCCTCACATATAATAGAGGAGTTTTGGTTTGACACACAAAATTAAGATAAGAACTGAAGAAGGGTAAGTGTAGTTGGTAATGTGGAATTCCCCAACACGCAATCACGTTAGGTTTTGCCCCAACCCCAACCTTAACATCCAGGATTGTTTCTTGGAGGAAGTAAAAGATTTTGAACTTCACTGCACTCATCTGTCTTGTTGCATTTGTCAAAGCATGATCCATGCGTGGACTTTCTCATTCCTTTTGCTTCCATTAATTGAACTCTTTTAACACCCATTTCAACTATTCTCGTCCTTCCCATTTCTTTCATTCTCAAAGTACAATTATACTATATAAAGAAAGCTGAATATTTTTCTAAACTCACTTAAATTAACACCATTTTTCTATTGATAAAGACGATGATTGTAGACTTAAGAATTCGTTTAACAAAGAGTAATACTACTCTCATAATTTTTTTTTCATAAATTTTATCTCACAACTCCGACATAACAGCTTGCGATTGGTCAGTTTATAAATAGATAATGTCTATTAGTTGTGAACTATCACGTCGGAATTGTGAGAGAAAGATGTTGTATACGTAACATTTTTGTTTAACAAATGATTGCATATAGGCATGAGTGGCGGCCCTTTAGGACTAGAGTTTAGAGATCAGGACCGCCATTCTAAGTACACCCATACATTCAACAAAATAGGCTAAGTTGAAACATTTATATCTCCTAGCCCAATATTACTAATCCAATTAATAAAAACAGGCCCATCCATTGTTCTCAAAACCCTTAGCCCAATCACAATCTCCGCTATGCTTCTCTTTGAATGAAGAAAGCGAGGGACTGTCACACTCTGCTCAAAACCTTTCGCACAAATTTCGCCACTCTCCAAAACCCTACTCACTACAAGGTTTAGCTATATCTTCCCCCCTCTATAATCTGTCTATACAGATAATCAAGACGTAGTTGTTGAAAATTAATTGTTTTCAGTAATTTATTCTACAGATGGATCCCTCAGAGCGTTACTCTTTCAATCCGGTGTTGCGATGGAATCCTCAAGTGGAAGACTACTTCATCAAGGCATATGGAGTTCAACATTTCTCCCGCATCTCTAAAGCCCTAACGTAGGTTACTTGGTTTTCACTCTCTCAACACTTTATTTTTAAATTACGCATCAACATAACTATTTGGTTCACTAGAAACTTTTGTTGCTTTGA